CACAACCCTACGTGGCTGTGTTTCGACTGTGTGAAGAGTGAGGTAACCTACATCCCACACAGCTTGCACTCAGCTTCTGTGCAGGACATGGGTGCAGATTCATGGCTTAGCTTTCCTGTGCACTGGCTCCCCAAAGAAACGAGTCCCAGGCAGCACGGGTGCTGGCACACGGGTCCAGCCAAACCTTGCACACAACACTCAGAGCTCATGAGGACACTCGGGTGGATCTGTGGCCCAAAATGTTCTCCCTTCTGTTTACTGACAGGCACAGCCTTGTAAGGTCCCGTGTTCTTCCTCTAACTTGCAAGTCCCTTCAGATACACATGTCAATGGTTACGAAGGGCAAGCTGGGGCATAAGGAAAATACTTTTATCCTACAGGTTAGGAGTGTTCCAGCTAAATAGCAGGCTTCTGTACATCAGGTACAGAGGGCATCAGTGGAACTGAATGTAATTCACACGTTTGCTACCAGCACTCAGCTTAGTTCTCACTAGCACTTTCAGTCCTCCCCTTCCCTTAGCAAAGAAATCCTTCCAGTTTGTTTGTTTTCTAAACAAAAAATAAAAATTACGAAGAGAATATTTCTATGCTCTATTCACTCACAGTTGTTTACAGGTATGTTGCTGGGACAGCAAAGTCTGGTTTTAGTGACTGGTTGCACTATGAGGCTTCCCGAAGACAGATCTCTGTCTTGCCAAGAACAACTTTTCTGTACCAAATTAATTTCCATAGTGAATGTACAAGGGGGAACGGAAATTTTAGCAGCATGCTCAAGAAATAAGTATGCCCTACACACTTCCAATTATGGGCCCTGAACAGGCCTGGAAAATTTTTTATTTTGGTCGACTCACCTCTGTATTTGAGAAGTATCTAAGCCCATAGCACAACCAGAGCGCTGTTGCCATTGTCTTCACACTGTGAGAACGGTAAGCAGATTGTGTCTTATCAGGAAACACCTCCGAGGTTATATGTAAATGACAGATGAACACAGCCCGACAAGATGTTCGTTGACAGTAAGTGCTCAGCTAGCACTCTTCACTCTTTACAGTTCCAGCCAGTGTCACTGTCTTTGAAAAACAGCCAGAAAAGCAAAGTGCACTGCTTAAGTTACCCAGCTGCGTAATGCTGGGAATCCTTCTCTTGGGGCTGGCATTTATATGAAAGGGAAAAAAATATAAGATCATCTTGGACAGAATTCATAGCTGGACAAATTTAACCATATTTCTGCCACTCTGCACTGTTGAAACGGGTTGAACATACCTGAGAAGTGGGATAATGTGTTTGGGTTTTTTTTGTATTACTGTCTTTCATTTGCAAAAATACAGGAAAAAAATATTTTCTATCACTCAGAAAGCCTAAAGCCACAAAGAAACAGGGTAAACCAGTCTAAGTTCACTCATTTGTGATCAAGTGAACATATAGTTTACATAATGTATATATTACAGCTCTATTTTCCAGGGTGTCCAGGTCCAGCCAAGACATCTAGTGTCCAAAGCCTGACATGACACAAGCTGGGCAGTTTGTGCCTGGGATGCCAGTTATTCTGGTCCCTGACAGATTGCTTGCACCCACGTATGGGCTGCTGACTGTGGTGATAGCCTGGTGCCCACACAACATCCAGCATCGGTACAGAAATCCCAAAGGCACCCACCTGCCTAAGGAGGAGCAAAAAGGTCTCTCCCCTGTCCTAGTCCACAGCCATGGGCACAGAAACCCATCCTCCCTCTGAAAGGAGCTCCAGAAGCAGAGAGGTCTGGCACAGCAGTATGTCAAAGGCAGTGTTTTCCCTCTGAGTTTTATGAGTCTCCGCAAGAAGGAAATTAGAAACTGAAGTCTACACTCTCTCCCATTTATAAATGTGTCCATAATGTGTACGTTGTGCTGTAGGTTAATGATGCAGTTCTCAAACAAGATTAACTGCTGCTTCAGACAGCCATCAATTTTTTATGATTGCAAGACCATTTCCCTACTAAAAATGAATGTTACATCCCCCAAGGGACGGGCTGTAGTCAGCATCAGTCAGGTGTGTAGGGTGAGAAGATGAGGATAAAAAAAAGAAAGTAAAAAAATAAAGAGAAAGAGAAAGAAAAATACACAAGTCAGTTCCCCAGCTCCCCCAGTAGGGAACAGCTATCTGACTTTTAACACTGTCACTTCTGAGCATCCTGAATAAGGTAAAATATGCAGGGATGTGTTCATACTGCTGACCCCACTGATGGGACCAGTTCCCTCTGAAATGACCCTACAGGCATTCAGTAGCCAACTCCTGACAAAAGCTGCACAAGACCAGCACAGGTGTCATCCTGCCTCAAGAGCCTGAGACATTTCCCTTGCCTGAGAGAGACGGTCCAGAGATTGCTTAATGCTGTAGTTAAGATTTGAGTTATTTGTTTTTTAAAACAAACATAGCCTTTATTTTAAGTCAATCCCAAGAGGCTGCCTATAGCAGCATCAGCAGAACAATGGGAAGTCACCTCATCCACCAGTCTTTTAGGACTAAGAAAGTGGGAGGAACTGTCTTGCGTGGGCGCCTGCCTCTCACCTTTCTTCCCTCCACCAGCTGCCAAAGGCAGCCTGATGCCTAGCCAAGATTAGAGGCACACCGTTAGATGTCTGAGGCAAGGGGAGATGAATCCTCACCTGGAGTGTGGGGTAACTTTGGCCAGGAACTACTGGTGAGGCTGAAAGGGGCCCAGCCACCTTCATTAAAGATAATTCACATTTTAACCTGATGGTAGAACCGTTATCACTGAACACTTTCAGAAGACTAAAGCAGAAGAGTACAGCGTCATTGCAACTCTGCACTTAGATTCAGCTTTAGGCTGGCTTGTCCTCATATACCTTATTTTGGCTCTATGTAGAGGAGTAAGTTACATCTATGCAATGAACCTTGTATCCTAATAACTACATCTTTGTTTTCATCTAAAAAAATTAGGCTAGGCTTAAAAAAAAGAAAAAAAAAGGAAAAAGAAATCAGTCTGTTGTCTGTAGCTTTTTCCCAGCTTTGGGACTACAATTTCTCCTATCATTAACCAAGAAGATGTTATATCTCTGTTACCATAAGTGCAACTGAGACCTTTATTAAAAAAATGGGACTGGAAAAAGTTCATTGTGAACACTGCCACTAAATGGGCTTCTAATTAGCATGTAACCCAGCTACTTTTAAGAACAGTTCTGGTGTTAGTACATTGACAATGACTGAACAACCCTATGAAGAAGTCCATGCTTAAGTTCGTGTTTAACTGCATTTCTTTCAGCCAACTCATAGCCCACACTGGAAAAAGTTTGGGCCTCAACCACATTAACTTCTTTTGGGCATCTCCCACTTTTCCAGAGTTGCAAATGCAGCTCTGGTTGTTTTTTCCATTGGCAATAGTGTTGAAGAAAGCCTTTCCGGAGTTGTTCTATTGCAAAGATGTAAGATGAGAGTGTCCAAATGGGAATCCTTATTTGTGCAGCTGCCTTTTGCTACAAAGCACAGTGACCACTACTGAGCTTACCTTTGTTTCAATATCTTAATGGTGAGACAGATGGGTTTTGTTGCTGCCCCCTAAAGCAATTTGAACATGTCTTGATAAAGCAAGGGTGGGCTTCTAATTACTTTGCATTTCAGACAAAGTCAATGAGAACATTTTCTGTTAAGCCTAATGGCATATAGATAAAAGTAAGCTGACACACCTACTAGTACTGCTTCCATTAAGAAAACAACTTAAATATTTATGAGGAAGGAACATATCCCAGCTTTTACTACAGATAAGCTAGGTCTCCTAACCTTCTTTGGGAAATGCTGTAAATCTTATGAGCGCACATATGTAACTACCCTGAGCTGCTCTTCCAAAGAGCCAGCTTGCACATCGGGTGCTTGGTGCGCGTCCTTCACGGGAGACCTGAGGGCTTCCAGGGTGTAACCCCAAAGGCCAGAGACCACCGTGGAGAAGCAGGGTGATACACTGGCTCGTCCTTAACCACCCCAGCGAGGAGGAGACAAGTCCACAAGCAGCCAGGCCACTTCTGACAGAGCAAAAATATTTATTGCTGCCCATGCCAGAACAGCCCCAAAACACTGACACGAGATCTGGGTGAGAGAGGCATCCCTCGCTCCCCGCTGTGTTCACTAGCCATTTGGAGAACAGCAGTCACTACATTTTTAAAAGCTGAAAGGCTTGACAAAACAATATTTAAATGCAGGAAGGGTGCCAAAATGATAAGTGCAGGGACTCGAGCTCGCCATTCATATGCAGAACAGGTCTAGTGCAAGCTGTTGCAAGGCAAACCTCAATTTATCTGTTTCTGTGGTCCCACCATCTCCAGAGTAGGGCAGCTCCCCCCAGTGCTCTGACATAACTGTAATATTTTCCTTTCTTGCTGCACACTGGAGATAAAATTTGATTAATCTCAAGCTTGTTTTTCTGCTGTGTGTGTGTAGAAGCTTAGGCGCTTTTGCCTGTTTTCGTGAACAGCACTACTCAGAAGAACACTGGCTATCCACAAGCATATAGGAACAAAACCAAATAACATAAAACAAAGATACACAACCAGTTCACAGCTCCTGAACTGGCTCCCTGCCATCAAGCTGGATGCCATTCTTGTGTACATGTGAGAAGTGTTACTTTCTTGTTTGTCTAATAAATACAGGCAAATGCACAATACAGGAAACTAAGACTGTAAAACAATCTCGAACAAGCTAAAGACATTAAACTGCACATGCCACATGAGAGACGGAGCAATTGCGCTGCTAGCTATTTCCATGTTTCCTAATTCTACCACAAGATACTCATTTCACTAGCTATTATGTGCAAAAATTGTTACAGCGCAGAGGGAAGCAGGGAATAGCTTGTATATCCATAGTGTGATCACTGCCAATACCCCAGTGCATGAAAACAAATGATTGCATTTTCCCTCAAGTATCAGAGTAAGAGGCTACATATCAAAAAAAAAATGACTTAGTCCTATGAGGAGAAAAGCCATTTTTGAAGAAATAGCATTAGGAGGCAGAAAAGCAGAACAGAATAACTTTAGGGTCATTTCAAGAGAAAAGCAGAAGGCTTAGATAAGGGTATCTGTCATACCACAGGGGCTGGTCTTTGTATTAGCAAAGAAAGAAAGGAGAAATACATCTGAATTCTTCTTTGTTGCATTTTTAATTAATTTGTTCCCTCTACAATTTTTTTAGGCTATAAATATTAAACTTTGGATGCATACTTGTTGCTGGAGCATCTTGTCAATCTAATTGTGGTGTTGCACAAGCCTGTAACTCCAGTGGCAGATCCTTTCCTCCCCCAGCTCAAGGTTCAGCGAAGGCATACTGAAATTTAGTCCCAGAGTTTGTCCCTTTCTGAGGAGCCCCTGCTTTTCTTCCCAGGTTGGAGCATAAGAGGTTTAGCCAAGGAAAGGCTGGGAACTATAAATGTAAAGGTGAAGAGGGAGAAGACGACAGCTTGATTGACTGGTCTTTCAAACACTTTGGCTGTTCTGAATTCTAAACACAGAGAGAATTAATGAGACAGAACTGTCCTTGAGCATTAAAATTGTCAACGCTCAATCACTGAACACCACAGAAGAAGCACAAACTTCTGCTCTCACCTGAACATTGTCAGACCTAACCTCCCTCCCCTTCAAGCCGTCAGCATTAAGCCTACTTGTGGCGGTGCGTGCTGAGGCAGCACTGTGATGGACAGGCAGGATGAACCCAGAGAGCAGATAGCCAAGCCAACGGGGCTGACAGCACTGGCAAGGAGAGCAGAAGGAAATCTGCTGAGTCCCAACTACGTACCTGGTTCTTCCAGATAAAGTAGGAAAGGTCAAGGTAATGATTTTTATCACCAGCTCATCATTTCTCCCTGTCACATAGGTTCTCAGCAAGTATGAATCACTTTGTGAGGGACGTCTGTGCTTCTGATCTAGACAGTTTCTGAAAGGATAAAAGCAAGCTGGGCTGCAAAGTGGTCTTGGGTCTTTGGGATGGTCTTGTGTCTGGGAGTCTCAATACTCCTGGGTCTGATGGGCTGACTTTGGCTCCGTTAACCATGCAGCAAGCAAAAACTCCACCTAATTTATACTTAAACTATTTTCTAACTGAGGAGACAGATTAATGGCTCTGTCTGTAAAACAATCCATATAATGTATTTCAGAAAAAAAGTGTCACAATTAATGCTCCTGTACAACTGAATGTAATGAATCCTGATTGATGTCAACCTAATCCATATGTAAATGTCTTTATGAACCCAACAACCTCCTAAGAACCTTCTGCCTGATTTGGAGAAGCAACTGAAGTATGCCCTTGCAAAGGAGAAAGAAGAAAAGATGGTGATGACTTTTCCTCCCAAACCTCTCTCTGGTTAGTAGGTTAACTCAAAGTTCTCCTTGCTAGGATTCAATATGGCAGCTTTCAGCCTCAGTGGAAACTGGAATTACTGCAAATAACAGCAAGTCCATAAGAGGCAGGACCAGACAGCAGTGCCTCAGCCACTGAGTCTGAGCCTATGGCCGCAGACTGACAGCTCAGACACCCATGGGCAAGCACCTATCCTGATCTCCTAGTTACACCTAGGACAACAGACATAATCTGGAGCGGTACCAACAATAAAGTCTGTCCCAGATACATGTTAGGTGACCTCTTAAACGTCTAATCTGTAGTGGGAAGTGAGGCAAAGAGAAGTTGAGGAGAAGGACAGGGTCTCACCATGGGTGCTTCATGCCTTTGATTTGCAGGACCAACCATGAGTCTCCACCTTCGCAGTCCAGTTGAGGTAGCGTTCAGCATCAAAGATGGGCTTTCACATCTGTCACCATTCTGTGTTTATCACCAAAGCGAAAATGAAAATAAAATAATGAGCAACATACCCTGTAGCCTCGGAGGTAATTATGCAACTTTCTTCACAAACTAAGTGGAAAACACATGAGCTTGGAAGATAACCACGGAGCAATTAAACACGTGCTTGTCAACATGTCACAAGTACTGTGTTGTTACAGTTGAAATGAAAACACAAAATGCCATCTGATTGAACTTCAGAATAATTAGCACATCATAGCACAAAACCATGACAAGTACCTGTCAACAGTTATCAGCACAACAATGACATTTTTCACTGTGAATAATAATGCCATTTTCCACTTTTGAATAGTAACACTGTTTTTTATTAGGAAAAAGCAGCATTGTTTAAAACATACAAATATATCCTCGATAAAACAAGATTTCGTTCTGCTAAGTTAACGCTCAAACAGAATTATTTCATCGACTTTATAGCCCGATGTGTAATTCCACATGCAAAAGCAAATGAAGCTCTAAATCCACGTAACTCCTCGAGGGAGAGGATGCTGCCCGCGAGACGCTGCCTTCGCCAGCCAGTACCCACGTACGCCTAGAACACTTTGTCTCTACGCCAAGCTGCAAACCGTGAATGCTCTGGACTTGTACTAAGCTGGTGATTTTTTACAGGACACATTTTAGTATAAAAATATACCAGATAGTCAGGGTGCTGTGGGTTAGTCTCAGCAATTTGGGGCAAGTTAATAACGACAGTTCAGCTGAGCTCCTAGAACAGTTTGCTGAGGCAAAGGCGTAAAAAAATAAAAATAAAAAATATTCTGTGAAGTTTTCTTAAGGTTATAAACTGCTCTGCTGGTTTGTTTGCTGTAAACAAGTTGGTTATTGATAGTTACGACTTAAAATACATGTCAAATTGCATTCTTTTTTTGGATGGCTGTGTACAATTTTATGCTTGTTGACTATGACTTTACTTAACAAGTCATATTAGTTAGATACTTTGGTCTTTGGAGTCTGTTAAAGAAAAAAAAAAAAAGCATCATACTAGCAACAACCCACTGACAATCCTATAAAGACAAGTTATAAAAGAAAGGCTGGAAGGAATCAATTTAATGTGTCCGCAGGTATTGACAGGGCAGTAGGGCAGTAGTCGAATCTCCTGCCTGACGCAGCTGGGATCAGTGTATTGATTCACCTGATTGAGTTAATTTCGGGAGCCCCGGGCTTGTCTGTCTGCCAGGATGGCAGCTTTTAATGCCAGCTGGAGGTAGCTCGGTGCCATCGCAACAAAAGTTCTCTATTTCTATTAACAGGATTAAGTAACTGAGATACAGAGATGGCTCCTCCTCACACAGAGCGCAGAAACCTGCCTCCAGCAAAATATTACATTAAATCACATCCCAGAGCTGTAAATTCTGCTGAGGCTTCACACCCCGTGGGCTGGGAGGTGTCTTGTCTGTCTTTAGCCATTTAAAAGGTGGGTACCTACCTTGCATAGGAGCAGAGGGTTCTGCTATAACCCGTGGAAAGGTGCCAGCATCTCCACACGGCAAGATACCTCACCTGTCTTAGACACTTGCAGCTGCAGCTCCCAAATGGTGCAGAAAACCCAACTTGACCTACAAATTTGGACCACAGCCAGCACTGCCATACCCTGGTCTTTGTTGACACTGGCACGGCAATACAAATACTACAGAAATCCGCCTTGTGTTTCAATGGCTTCCACTTCTGACTTGCCTCAGCGTGAAAGAAGCCCCTCTCCCCAGTGTAAGTTGCATAGCACTGGTGCCATGGAAAGAGAAAGCAGCTTTGCAGTAGAAAACTTGACATGCTCAGGAAGACTTTCTACTAAGTGCCATCTTCCTCTGAGTGTTTGCTGTCAAGTTGGGTGATGAGGGATCAGGCAGATAAAGCTGACTCTGTGCCAAACTCCCACATCACACAAAATTCAAGTAAAATTTTGTTTAAAATGTAACAACGAAGATCTTTAAGGGCAAGATATGTCTCTCTCTCTGTCTCTATCCCCTCAAGCGCTAACCCCAATATTTTTACACTTCCACCCACCACAGAAAAAGGGCAAAACGCTACCAGAAGATTGTATCTGTGGGATTTAAGGCTCAGCAGCAAGTATGAGAAGAAATCACAAGGATGCAAGCTGCTGAAATTTCTGAGAGCTCTCCACAAATCTGCAGTGTCCACAGCCATCCTACAGCGACGCAGTTCCCGTTGTGGTTGCCTGACCCGAACCTGCTGTCCCACCGCGGGGGTGGCCAGTCCCATCTGTGACCACCACTGCCTGCTGAACTCCAGATCAGCAAGAAAACCGCCGCCTGTCCCTCAGTTCAGGGGGAGGAAACTGATGCTCAGGAATGAGAACTGGAAGCAAGGGCAGAATAAAGCTATAAAACTGAAATGACAAGGGCACACGCTGGAATTCCAACAGCCAGGGTAATAAAGTTCCCACTTTGCCAGGTTTTAGGCATTGGATTTTTACCTCCTCTTGATGTGAAGCAGGCTGAGCTTATCTATTACAGAATCACAGAATCACAGAATTTCTAGGTTGGAAGAGACCTCAAGATCATCGAGTCCAACCTCTGACCTAACACTAACAAGTCCTCCAATAAACCATATCACTAAGCTCTACATCTAAATGTCTTTTAAAGATCTCCAGGGATGGTGACTCCACCACTTCCGTGGGCAGCCCGTTCCAATGTCTAACAGCCCTTTCAGTAAAGAAATAGATCAGTTCTGTCACCAAAAGGGTCGACCGTATTCTCCTGTCTTCCCACCCCACTACTGGCTGCTTCATGAGCCACATCAGCCCCCCAAAAAAACAACCTGAGGGAGGAGGGAAAGTGCAGAACACTACTCTTTGGTGGCAATTCCTATTTCTCATGGTTTTGATTCTTAATATATTTCCCTATTTTGTTTTGGTGGGGTTTATCCTCTTTCAGGAACAACCTTTAAAAAGAAGAGGGGAAGGGCTACATGGGAAACCTACCAGGCTAAGTACCAGATGGAGGCAGGGCCAGCTGGGTTGCATCGCTTTCTCTACAAAAAGTGTGTCAGCAGCGAGCACAGAAGGAAACTGAGCTCGTGGTTTCCAGTACAAATCACCCTCCAGAGACAATGATTATAAACCTCCTGTGTTCACTGTGGTTGGCGTAGGCAGCCAGGGCAGCCAGACAGGGACTTCCCTGCAGCTGTCCACAAGAGGATCTGCGCTCAGAGGCTGTGTTACGTAGAGGCTGGTGGCTGGAAGATCTCGGTCAGACAGGATAATGCCTTTTGGGCATGCCAACACCATCACTTCAACTCACAGCGCAGCTGGAAGAGGACAAATACTCTTTAGCAGCAGTACAAATGTGCCTTGCAACATCTGTGCAATATCAGAATGACTCCGAAATGGAAATAAATTACCTTGCACATAAGCTGCAGGGCTAGCGATAGCTTGTATGAAAGGAAATCTTTTGTTAACTCCAACACTTCACTCAGAAATGTTTCTTTTTCTACTTCAAAGTATCAAATGTTTGTGTTGTAGAGATTCAGAGAAAGATGCCTTTTCAGCCAACTTGGTTCAACAGTTCAAAAGATCCTGGGAAGATATTTAATTAAATTTCAATGTGATTTATATGGGTTTGGTATAAGTTCACCCCTTATTATTCCGCACTGCTTGTTTAGCCCCTAAAAGTCCTGCTCTTGGCTCAGTTTAGACAGGCAGAAAGGCAGGAGCTGCTCAGGAGGGTCAATGCTGACCTCGGGAGGTGGACAGGGGAGATGCCATAGAGGGATGAAAACACCAGAGCAGACCGAAGACATCTCTGGGGAAGGGGCCCAGTGAGGAACCTTTGAGGTTCAGTCATCACATCGCCCTCCTTCCAGCTCATCCCTGGCAGAACTTGGGAGCAGCAAGCTCTGAGGCACGGGGAGCTCAAGTCTCAATCAGACCACGAAACAGTCGCTCAGTTTTGTAAGGCTTCTGCAAAGCAGAGCCCAAGGAGGGGAATCCAAGCATGAAGAGCCTATGCCATAGGCGTCTTTAATCTGATGTCCCTTCACCCAGAACAAGATGATTAGGTAATGGGTATACAATAACATAAACCTAACATTAACAATACAAAACATACAATAAAGGTTATAAAAACATCAAATATACAGAGGGTTGCTTCTTGCAAGTTACCCACCTAAGCTTCCAGCACTCTGTGGTTTAAGGGCATCTACACCATAAGCTACAGCCAGGTCATTATTATATTAACCTCCCAACTGGCATGCTTATGATAAATCTCTTTTTCTGCATAGTTACATTTTAGACCATGACATCCTGTCACAGGGAGTTTTCTGTAAGGCGGGGGAAAAAAAACCCACAGCCTTCCATGTTTTCTGTCGTGTCAGCTTCCTGCTAACTTCACTTCTTTCACCATAGCTCTTTTTGTGAGAAATCAGGCTCCTTGTTTGCCTTTCCCACAAGTTTTGGACAGCTAAAAACAAGCTTTAAGAGAACTCCCCAAGACAGGTCTAAAACTGAAAAAAAATAAAAATAAATAAATAAATAAGTGAAGAATAAAAGGGAGGAAAGACATCAGCAGATTAAAGCAAAAGTCAGTATGTATCAACACGGAGGTTTAAAGCTCTGTGAGATTTCAGTGCAGGTCGGTTCCGTTCCTCCCACTACAAGAGACTCCAGAACACCTTTTCTTCTGTCTAACTCGTAGGAGGCAACATGTCTAAATCAGAGACACTGCTTTGAAGTGTTCTAGGGCAACCTCCCCACCAGGTTCCTTTTCAGGTTGCTTTGATTTCCACCATGACTTTACCTTCAAAGGTACTTCACAGCACACCAGCTGATTGCTCACGTACCTGTTCCCAGCCTAGTCAAGGTTGCAGCTCTTACCCTGCCACGCGTTCTTCGTCATCGTCTTCCTAAGCAATCTGAGGAAAGAATACTCAATTCATGTGCAACCCAACGTGACTATGTGTATATAAGACTACAAAGTGATGAAGTCCATGTTTTGAAAGAAAGAATTTTGCAAAGATCCTGGATTCAGAGTTGAAGAATGTTTTTGTAAATAAACATGCTTGTAACGAGCAAAAAAAGCACAGAAGGTGGAATATATGCAAATGTGCCTTGCCATAGGATTAGACAAATTGTTTTGTGTCCTTTCTGTTACATAGCACTGATCGACACTGAGAGTCCAGTGCAGAGCCACGAGGATGATTAAGGGAGAGGAGCATCTTCCTTACGAGGAGAAGCTGAGGGAGCTGCTTCTCTTTAGCTTGGAGAAGAGGAGACGAAGGGGTGTGTTATAAATGAAGTCTCAACTCAATCTGAATTTAGTAATATTTATAAAAGACAAGTAAACAGCGCTGGGTGCGCAGGGAGTCTATGCTCTACCAACACGCACACACGAACATCAAACCTTCTAAATATACAGAACATTGCTTTTACATACTAAACCCGAGTATGCCTATACATATGTACAATCAGAAAATGTAACAAACAATCCTTTAAGTCTATGACTATCAATGTCCATGACTGGGGGAGCATAGCTGCCCTGGTTGAAGTGCTCCCACATTTTCCATGACTTATAACAGTCTCCATTTTTTAAGTTGTCAAGCAACTCGGCCTTCGGGCCTTATGTATCCTAATCTTCCCGGATCGAAGAAAAGCATATTCGTCTCCTTTTCAAGGCCAATAGGGCGTGGTTCAAAAGGCACCTCCAGGTCACCAGGGGGCGGAACAGCACAGGCCTGCAGAGGGGCTGATGGCGTAGCAGTAAAGGAGCCCGCAGCTCCCTCACCATCTGGCAAACCGCTCGTGTCTGACTGTGGCCCCACACGGCTCTTTAAGGCCCTAGAGACTGCTCGCCAGGTGCCGAGCAATTCCACTGCAACCTTCTCGTTTTTAGCTGCAGAGTCCCACACCTTGACCTCAGTTGGGTCCCATATCTCAGGCTCATAAACTGTCCGATTGTTAATAAGGAGAAGAAGCTGTAAGGTTACCAGGACAGTCTTTGTTCCTAAGGGCGTATGATTCTCCATAATGCGCAGCTGCTTACCAGCGAGGGGCAGTTGTGTGCACGGGTCCACTTCTCTCAGCTTGAGCTTCTCTCCAGCTCCAGAGTGCCATTTCCAGAAACTTTCTGTAAGAGCTTCTCTGAGCGGTTTGCTGAGGTGATCAATGTGCCTATTCCCGTCCTGGTCTCCATTCTGCCAGACTGTTCCTTTTCATTCCTTCTTTCTGCTTCTTTATTGACATAACTTCATCGTGTTGCCTTTTTTTTTTTTTATCTTGAGGACAGGCTCTTCTCTTATACCCTTCTCCCCATAGCAGTCCTTTTCAAAAACAACTTTTCATTGGTCAAACAAATTTGCAAATAACAGCAACTGCAAACACCCAGAAACTTCCATGCCTTAAGGGCTGGAGAACAAGCAACCTGAATCACCCTTCTTTGTTCCCTCTAAGCTCTTTTACATTCCTGATGGCCTCATCGTTAAGAGTCTGATGTTATCATTAACACCGGGGCTTTCCCACCCCCATGGCCACACTCTCAAATCTCCCCCTTCTGTATTAATATCAGCCATTTTCTCCACACGAGTTACCCCTCCATATATAACATACGCTCCTCCCCACAGCAGTTCTTTTCAAAACAACTTCTCATTGGTCAAACAACTTTGCCCGGCAACAGAAAACGCCCAGAAACTTCCACGCCTCAGCGGCTGGAGAACAAGCAACCCGAGACGGCATGGCCATGGCGTCTCCTGAATCGCCCTTCTTTGTGCCCTCTAAACTCCTTTATGTTCCTGATGGCCTCATCGTTAAGCGTCTGATGTTATCACCAACCACGGGGCTTGCTGACCTCCATGGCCACACTCCCACATCTCCCCCTTCTTTATTAATACCAACCATCTTCTTGACACGAATTATTATGCCATGTATTGCAGGTGACCTTGTTAATGTTTATAAATATGTCAAGGACAAGTATCATGAGGACAGAGCCAGGCTCTCCTCGGTGACATCCAACGACAGGACAAGGGGCAATGGGTGCAAGCTGGAACATGGGCGGTTCTGCTTAAATATGAGACAAAACGTTTTTTACAGTGAGGGTAACAGCACTGGAACAGGCTACCCATGAGTGGGTTGTGGGGTCTCCTTCTCTGGAGACTTTCTAAACCCTCCTGGACCCGTTCCTGTGTGATATGATAGGTGTTCTTGCTCCGGCCGGGGGATCAGACTAGATGATCTTTCAGGGTCCCTTCCAATTCCTAATACTTTGTGATTCCTGGTCTCTGAGAATGGCAGCTTTCCCAGAGCAATTCCTCCTTCTCAGACCATCCATTGCTCTCTGTCCATTGCTCTTACAGTTCCTTGCCTTTGCCCTTGGTGGAGGTCTCTTCAGGAAGTCGGTGGATCTTCAGTGCCCTTGGGCTGCCCTTGCAGGAGGCCAGCAGCGCCTGCCAAGGATGCTTCAGGTTGCCAGGCCCAGTTCCAGAGCTGGCAGGCTTTTAGGAGACTTTTAGGAGACTTTTGCTGTCAGCCTTTTTCCCAGTTGGGCCAGGTCACCGCTGTGGCTGCTCCTGTCCCCAGCAGTTTCCCATTCCCATGATGATTTCTCATCCCCCAAATGACTCCTCATCCCCCAGTCTCCCTTGGGGACCGCCCCCCCGCAGCCGTTCCCCATCCAGAGCAGACATCCCCACACCAAATTGCAGTGAGGGCAGCATTCAGCGTCCCGACCAATGCAGGAGTAAGTGCAGGTAGAGGCTTTGCAGGGTGGAAAAGCTAATTTAATACTGGGATAATTGTGGCTGCCACCCCCAGCCCGTCCCCAGGTCAGACCTTGCTTAACTTGGGGACGAGTCTCCTTGGCAGGTTGCCAGACCCTGCATGGTCACCAGACCGCGGTTCCTCCAGCTGGACCCTTGGCAGCCAGAGCATGTCCCCGACGTCATCATCCTCCGGAGACCGTGGCAGTCCGCACCCATCCTGCCCCGAGTGCCGAGAAAAGCTTCGCTGAAGTTGTCGTTCCATGGAGGGGTTGCGCTCCCTGCGCCTGGGCGAGACACTGCGGGACTGATAGTTGGAGAGGCTCCTCTGCCACTGTTGCCGCCCCAGCCCCACATTGCGCTGCAATCTTCTGCGGAGCCAGCGGGATAAGGCGTCACGCTGGGCAGGTGGCACCAAGCCCATGATGGCCGTGATGGGCCCACGGCACATTGGGCAGTTGAGTCTTTCGGTGGCTCAGACATGGATGCATTCCAGGCAGAAGGAGTGCCTGCAAGGGTCAATGCGAGCCAGGTCAGACATCTGGCCCAGGCAGATGGGGCACGTCTCGTCCCCACGTGCCTCCTCTGGCTGCTCCTGCTGGGGCTGGTTCATGCTGCTTGCAGCCGCCCTGGCGTGGAGATGGTCGTCCCCTGTGGTCTTCTGCCCTGGTGCCAGGCGCTTCTCAGCAGCCTGCGGTCCTCAGCACCTCCCTTGGTGGTCACTGACAGGACCTTGATGCCTCCTCTTGTGTCGCTGGCTGGACCTCGACGTGTCACGTGCCATCAGCAGGACCACTACAGATAGAACCAGGCAGAAAATATTCTACCAGCAAATGTACATTAGCTTGCTAGGTTCAACCAAGGTGTCTACAGTACTGTAGCAGTAAATATTCTTAGTATGGACTACAAACACTGCTATTAGAATGGCAAATATGCTGGTGATAGGTTATGCTTCACAAGAACACACTTAGGACAGATGAGGTACATATACGCATATATATTTGATAACATTACCGAAGGACTTCGATGGATGTGTGCAACAAAAAGGGCTTCGTGTGTGCTTTCTGCAACACCTCCGCCTCTCGCCTTCCAGCAATGGGACCTCGAGCTCTCGAGTACCAACAGCTGGATTGGACTCAGGCACGACTCTCAGGGCACTTATGGCCAGCCAAATTTTGTGAGGCCATAGGGTGACAGTGACTCTGTGGTGGCATTGCAAGGGTCTCAGGGTGCCCCTGATGGCAGCGCTGACAGAGGTCACCTGCCTGTGGTGAGGAACTGCTGAGGTGAGATGGCTGCTCCACGCTGACAGGAACAGTGTCTGCCAGGCTGGGGTCCAGGCCAGGAGGTCGGCCTGTGGCCTGGGAGCTGCCACTGGGAGCCAGGGATGTCCTGGCATTATCCCCCACATACCCGGCGCTGTTAATAAAGAATACCCGCTTGCTAATTCTCCAAAACGAATCTTGGAAAGTTACTTTGCTTTTTGCGTTCCCCCATTGATAAGGGCACAACAAGAAGCTGAGGACCAACTGATCACCTGGGAAGGTGGAAATTGGCCAGAGACAGTGGGAACGTGCAGGAGAAATCTAGGGTTGTTTAGAGAAAATCAGAAATCGTGCCGTGGAGGGGCTGTGTTCTCTGCGTCTGGGTGAGACACTGCGGGACCGGTAGCTGAAGGGGCTCCTCTGTCGCTGCACAACAGCCCCAACAGCGCTACGGGCTGGGAGCTGGGTGGCTGGAAAGCTGCCTGGCAGAGAAGGACCTGGTTGATGGTCGATGGTCGGCTGAACATGAGCCAGCAGTGTGCTCAGGTGGCCAAGAAGGCCAACAGCATCCTGGCTTGTATAAGAAGCGGTGAGGCCAGCAGGACTAGGGAAGTGATCGTCCCCCTGTACTCAGCTCTGGTGAGGCCGCACCTCAAGTACTGTGTTCAGTCTTTGGCCCCTCACTACCACAAGGACATCGAGGCCCTGGAGCGTGTCCAAAGCTGGTGAGGGGTCTGGAGAACAAGTCTTACGAGGAGCGGCTGAGGGAGCTGGGGTTGTTTAGCCTGGAGAAGAGGAGGCTCAGGGGCAACCTCGCGGCTTGTGAGCTGTCGAGCCCAGCTCAGCTGCGTGGATGCTCTTCCTGATCAGCAAAATCGTTGTGCTAAGGAAGAGGTAGCATGTGTGCAGCGGGCATTACCATCTGACTGCAGCTACCAAAGGGGAACCTCAAAGTCTCGTTTCAGCAGTAAATGTGCAATGAGTAGCAGTTTCAGCATGCGGTGTTGGAGTGACCAGTGCAGGCTTACCAGCTCAGTGCAAACACCAGCTATTAACTTAAGCAGGTATTTTTAGCAGCCGTACAGCTAAGGGAGAAACAGTGCCAGCAGAGCCAAGAAAAGCACGAGTGAGGCTGCTGCAAGTTTCCTGCATCCCCTATGCCACCGAGGCGCTGACCTGCTGTGCCCCCACCACACACCGCTCTGCCACAGCCTGCCTGCACCACACAGGAACTTGCAAGTCGTGTGTTTTGTTAGTTTGGGTTAAATACACCGATGGTGTTGGGACAAGAAGCCCCCTCTTGGGAAACAGTTTCACTAAAACACCAAACAGCGTTTGCTTATGGCCTGCAGACTCTCCGGGATCTTCTTTCCAACACCCAGGAGCCTCAAAGCACCACTGAAAGAAGAATTTATCCAGAGAGGCCTTAAGTCACCCCATCTCACAGTTCGCACCCACGGGAGCACAAAGGAAGAAGCAGTGCTGCCTAAGTAGCAGGTCTGCTGCTGCGTGCCCTGGCCAGCTCCCACTGAAGTCTCAAGGTGGAGATGGAGACGTTATCGTGTATCTCTATCATCACACACAGATGACAAAAATACACACCAGAAAATATTTTCCTTCTGGAGGAAGAAAAGAAAAAGCCCTATGAAGAAGAAGAAAAACAAAAAAAGACTTTAAGTTTAAAGTCAATTAAAAGTAATAAAACCCCTTTTCTGAATTATGTCATTAATGTAGCAATGTACATCAACACTGAGAACAAGACCCATGAGAAAGAACAGGTACATTTGGTCCAATCTTGCAAAGCTGTGCTCGTGTATGTCTTTATTCCCTACATGCCAACACAGGCTCATTACACATCTTTATTCCCTACATGGCAGGATCAGACCTTCTTGTAGACACACTTGAAAATAACGCTGTTCCTGCGCTTCAATATGAAGAGCTGAACTGCTGAACAGTGCAAGAACCTGTACTCCTGGCTTTCCAGAACACACACAGACAGTAACCTGTGCAAGCACTGGTAGAGTTGGTCCTAGTTCATTCCTTATTTTTAAGCATGTCCTGATATGTTTAACATGCAAAAATTGCACATGAAATAGCCCCACACCCTGTTTCCAGAGAAGAATCCTGCCTTCAAAACTCAAAAGACTTAAAGGAATCACAGCTGGGATTATCAAAGTGCCCTCTGCTGGCCCATTGAAAAAGTCATCTTGCTATCCCCTGCTTTCTTTTCCCCGAAGAGCCATCAAAGCCAGCACCTGTTTGTGCAAACATTCAATTTATTTAATAAACTGGCCAGAAAAACAACACAACAGACCATTCTTGATGATATATAAAACTTAAAAAAAAAAAATCCTTCCATTACATATTACTTTATAAAAATAACTTAAAGCACCATTCCAGGAATCTCAGTAGAAAACCATGGATTTGTTGCTGGGTAGAAGTTTAGGCACAAGGTGTTCTGCCCACAGGGAGGAAGAATTTACCCCATTTTCACACCGCAATGAACTCCCAAGAACCATTTAATTAAAGTAATCTGAACCTTCCTGCTAAAAGAGAGGGAAATGAAAAACCAGATCAAAAAGCACAATCATTTCCGTTACAAAGAGGCATTTTACCACTTCCTGGTAAATACGGATGGAGTTTATCCAGCAAGAGAGTGAGCTTGCTTGTACTTTTCATGGAAACCTCCATTTCAGAAGTATTGTCTTCTTAATTGAATACAAAACAAAACATACATGGAACTAAATCTAGCTCTTAGGCCTTGTCTACACAGGATTTTCACTATAGGTTTTCAGAGATTGAGTGGGGGTGGTTTTCCCCAGTTTGAAGGAAAGCCTCTATACAACTGTGTTTAAAGTGGCCAGTCCACACCTGAAACCGTGCAGTATACAACTGCTCACCTGAAAAGGAAGAATTTATTCAGATTTGATACAGTTGTTATATAACACACTTCAAAGTATAATCCATTCAAATCGGGATTCTGTCAATTCTAAAGTGGACTAACTATTATCACAGAAGCTGCAAGATACAGCTCAGAAGATCTGTTATATACAACTTTGTTACTATGAAAATAAAAAAGTTTATGTATGACAAGGCTTTGATAAAAACTATTCTCTTTCTCACCCAGAACATTTTTATAAATAAGCATCTCTAAAAAGTCAAGAGAAAAGTTGTTCTGAAAGCAAAGAGATGTTATTCTAGATGGTACGACACTTCTTTCAGTGATAGCTTCTTCCTCGTGATCAAACATGCAGATAATTTCCCCTCTGTTGGTACACAGCTCTGATCAGGGAAAATGCATGTTCACGAGGAGGACTTGTACTTGCAGTGTTAAAACCCGGTACACAGGGGCACTACACAGTTATCTGAACTTGTGGTGACATTTTGGAGTTAGGATGCTCTTTGTTCAGGTAGCAAACTAAAGAAGAAAAAAAGAAAAAAGTTGTTGCTCAGCTGTGCCAGCAGTTCTTCCATCACTGCCCACCAGACAATGCAGGTTTTAGGCTATGACTTCATGAAAGCATTTGTTAAATGCCCTGCCAAACAACAGCTGGAGAGTTCAATATGCCCATTGCTTTGCTGATTGCCAGCCCATCACCACTAGTGACCAACTCCCGCAGAGCTCTTTTCCTCAGACGAATGGAGCGCTCTGGTTAAGATGTACACACTTCTGCAGACTTCTGAGGATGACTTCTCTCAAAACCTCTCTTCTGAAGTGCACAAGTCAGCCACAGTGATGAAAGTCAGTCTCTGGCAATAACAAGAATGGGGGTCTTTAACCTCAGCAACCAGCCATGAGAGTATTTTCACCAGAACGCTTAGTCACGGACAGAGTGGTGAATACCTTCAGGGAAAAAAAACCAAAAACAAATACTTTTTAGTACAGCCAGAATGTATCTTCTCTTCCAAAAATTAATTTGGGCATAATGTTCAAACCACAGCCATTTCCTAAAGTAATAAAATAATAATAAAAACCCCTACATTTAAAATCCTTGCTACTAAATAGCGCGCACACACAAATCCCCCCTGTTCCCTTCATTTACCCCATGGCCTTACTTTTACGGTGGAAAGAAACAATTAAGGAAGTCTCATGGCTTTATAGCACCTTTTGCCTTACTGCTGCTAAGTTTTTACAGAGTGAATGAGCTCAGCAATAATACTCTCCAGCCTGTACACCTAACAAGTGTCTTTATTGCTTAGACAATTTCTTCGTTGGGAAAGTGAAGTTAACCTAAGGCTGTAGCATTTGAAGAGAACCTAACTTTCGCCTCCGTGTCTTTCCAGATATTATGGAAACGTGGAGCTGATTGCTGATGAGGGTATTATGCCTGGGTTTTGTATCCTCTGGACAATAGCTAAGAAACACTCGAGCCTAGCTTGGAAAAGTCAAATCTTTACTGCTTTCAAGTCACATTAAAGAAAAGGACATATTGAAGAACAATTATTGAAAAATTAAATGATATCAAAATTAAAAAAGAAAAATTATACAATACCGTGTTTAGTATTAGAACTTTACTATGCAAATAATTGCATTGTTTTGCACAGATGTAATATAGAAAGGAAAATGGGAAACCAAACTAAACCCACTTCTATTTAAATAGTTCAAAGTTGCAATAATTAGCCATCAAAGCCATCTCTCAGGAACAATAAACTTAGCACAGAATAAAGTACATACACATTTCATTTATGCAAATAGCACTGAAATATCTAAAGAAAATGGGGATCTGAAAGCCCTACAGTCCTGTAAGTAGCAGCTTTACTGCATTAAAGCTGCCAGAGCTTGTCAGAGAACATCAGTAAGTGATATGGCTCTTCCACTTTCTACAAGCATGTAAAGCGTTATGCAAAAGTCAGGAAGACGAATGCATGTTTAATATATTATGGCAGAAGAACCAAAATATATTTAAACTATGGTGCATAGCTTGATACAGGGTTTCTAACTTTTCAGTTCTGATCCACAGACTGACAATCCATGGGAATTTTTATTTGTTGCTATAGAATCACAGAATCACGAAGGTTGGAAAAGACCTCCAAGATCATCTGGTCCAACCATCACCCTACTACCAATGTCACCCACTACACCACATCCCTAAGCTCCAGGTCCAGCCTTTCCTTAAGCTTCACCTGCTTTCTTGTCCTAACTGCAAGCTCTGGGGACGACAGAGCTCCCCAGCTCCAGTAAGCCAGCTGGGAGTCTTTTGGTAACTAACTTTTTAGCTGACTCACAGAATCATCCCAGCTTTCAGAAAAAAACCTTTTCTTCATCACAAATGCTCAACTAGATGTGCCTGTATTTCAAGCAGTGCAGTACAGCCCAAAATGAGAGGTAACTCTCTATACTTCTGACGTTCTACCAATCTGTACTCGCAGTTATTTGTATTTTGCTTGCAATAAATTCTATTCAGAGTTCAGGCTTTCTGCAGAATATAATGCTGTTCAAATATGGGAAGTGAAATCTCACCCTAATTTACAAGCAGCAAGAAATGGGACCCTCAGTCTTAGTCTTCAAGTTGAGTAATACCGTGTTTCACGAGTCTCTCTGAGCAGTCAGTTAGCACTAATGCCACTGAAGACGTCAGTATTTGACGCTGCAGCACTGTCCCTTTAGTGCTCAGATCAGAGTTCACGTTCCTTAGCCTTTATATATGCATCATAAACAGAAGGCTATTATCCATCATTTTATTCAGCCAGACATGCACAGCCCTGACAAATTCCAAACATTTTTAAAACATTTTTTTCTTAGTCAAAGAGTACCATCTTGCACTTTGATTTTTGTTTACTGCATAAGAGATTAAATTAAGTAACAGGCATAAAAAACCTTCTAAAGACTGGCATTAAAAATGATCAGTGTTCCCTGGAGCTTTTAAATAGTGTGTTTCTCCTGAGCCAATTTCTTCCTCCCCCACTCAAACAAATACGATTATCTGAAATTACCTCCCTAAATTATGTCTAATCATCATTCTATTCAGTTTCAATTTTAGCAGCTCAGATGTCCAGAATAAATTATGACTATCAGCCTCTCTTCACACTGCATATGCTAATATCCTGCTCAAGTTCACAGGTTTGAATGCCTCACTCAAAGCTCCCCCTCTGCAGGGCCCCTGAAGATAAAGACTTACTGCCCCTCTTCAAGGGCTTGAAAAGAACACTGCTAGATGATATTACGGGGGAAAAAAAAAAAAAAAGAATCTGTATTGCAGATGCTTTGAAGATGATTCAGATTGCTAGAAATCCATTCCATTAAAGGAGCTCACATTAAACTGCTCATACCACATCAGTTTGGAAGCACATGAGAAGTGGGTTTCACTTCTACAGACTGGTATCCCAGTCCTCCCTCTCACACTCTGTAGCTAAAATACACAGGTAAGAACACTGATTCTGTACAATGACCTACAAAGGTCATATACAGTTACCTGCGATTCTCAGCTAAAATAAGTGGCCCTAATGCTACTAAAATCAGTGGAGCATCTCTGACTTACACCAAGGGGGAACTGTTCCCTCCTTGTTAGACAAAATTCTGTTCTTTGATAAAGACAAATAGCAAGACGAAGGCAAGAATTTGTTATGTGGCCCTGTGTACTTCAATTCAAATACAAAGACCTAGAGAGTAAAGGAGAAATCTTCAGAAGGACAGAATTTAATAGAAAAACTGGCATGTAGCTGGTCCCCATCCACAGCACCAGTTTATATCCTTAATTTGAGTACATATATCCAGAAAAATTAGCTCTGACAAGCACCTCAAAAACGTGGGAGGAAGATTCTGTACTTCCCAGTAGAGGGAGCACTGGGTTAGTGGAGACGAGAGTTATTTCACAAATGAAAAAAAAATAAAAATCCAAATGTTAGTTTTTTAAATATTTAAAAAAAAAAAAAGTTTTCTGTCTTTCCCTCCCCTCTACTTTCCCCTAATTCTGACTTCTTTAACAAAATTCTGATGTTTGGGTTTCCAGCAGCTTATCCCAGAACGCTACAGAAGCTGGGATAGGAAGGTGACTTCATATACAAACCTCTGCACAGACTGGATGGATTCCTATGGTGCTGTCTAGCTGTTCTTTGGTCAATCCACATTTAATAGCAGCTGCAAAGCCTTGGGTGACTTCTCCAGCATTTGGGCCGAGGACATGGAAACCAATGACTCTCTCCTAAATAACAAAGAATCAAACGCAAGCACAGTTAGCTGTAAGGTCTTCTTACCAAGTTTATTCAATTTCACCAGTTCACAAAACATGCCACAAATTAATGTAACCACAAATGTGAACTATCATTAGCTCCAACAGAAGGGACTTAGTGGGAAAAAATTTGTCTTCTCTCCAAGAAGGAAAAGATTAAACTAAGAACTCACGAATCAGCTTCCTTACAAGCTTTGTGCATGAGTCTTCCATTTATATCAAGAGCATTCAAATTTAACACACATCACGATCTACACTTGATTATTGTGTATGTTCAAATTGCAAATGTCCTTAGACTTTATTCAGGCAAGCTGTTCCACTCATTCCAGTAAGACTAAGTAAAGGCAAACATCTTGCATAAAGGTTTGCAATATCAGGGTCTATGCTAGCTGGCTGTATGGTGCATACCTACAGAAGAACTCACAACTTGATGGTTGCTTAGTTGCTTGATAGTTGGAAAGAGCTATAAGCTAAAATTCTGGCTAAGAGAAGTGACAAGAGGTGTGTGGTAACTAAACTGACAACTACTGCTGTCACGGTGTTCACTGCCATTGGAAGATAAAACACCTAGAGATTCCCCAAATAAACTGAAAGACATCTAGTTACAAAGAAGAAAATATGATTCCATACATTACTTCTCATACCTCCACTACTGTTCAGCTGCAAAATACGCCGAATTGTGCACATATCCTTACTGAACACCCAAGGGAACAAGCCCTTTGAACTTGACTTTCTTTTCTTCAAGAGTTTGTCTTCTTCAGCAAAAACTAGCTGCTGTGGGCTTCAGTGGCTTTCAGAACATTAACTAGATTTTGCTAATCACAGACCTAGCCCAGTTGGGAATCAAGAGTTATCTGCTCCTTCTGCTAAATATCACATGTAAGGGAGTGGGGATAACCAGTACACTGGAAGGTTATTTTCTTTCAGTAAGCCTGACGACTGGGAATTACCAGAAGGTTCATTTAAATAAGAAAAGCTAACAAGAGACAGTATCTAAAATAGAATTATCCTTACTTTCTATTAAAAATATGCACATAATGTAAACATAAATCCACAGAAATGAAGCTGAGATAACTACAGTTTCCCCTATAAATTTAAAAAGTTACTGAATAGTTTCCATCCGGGGTAACTTTCAGCTCAAAAACTCTAAATGTTTAAATATATTTCTAATTTTCAGGACAAGAAAACATTTTAAATCACCAGAAAGTCTTCCTATTTTCTTAAGTAACTTTGGATTAGGAACATAAGTATGGGTTCTAAAATAACTTCCATGTTAGTGCAAACTCCTCCAGAAAAAGGAGATGGGCAAAACCAAGCAGATTTGAAGACTTCACAAAATGACACAATGCTTAGGAAGACTGCAGGAAGACAAATCTGTAACTGGTGATAAAAGAAAATAAGCATAATAGATTCAAAACTTCATTAGGGCTTGAACCTTTATGCTATTAGCTTATTATTGCAATTAGCAATTTTACTTGTGCTTCAGCAGGTACTGTACGTTTCCTTAACCAGGAAGTCTTATCCTAGTCCAAGGATAATCCTGGCATTATCACTCTAAATGAGATTTGTGCAGGCAAGATATATAAATCCTGTTAGAACAATCTCAGGAGTTTTATAGACACATATGGATTTGCAGAGGTCAAAGGATGCAATGATTTCTGAGTGATCTCCACTTCAGAGACAAAAATCTCCCAAAAAAATCATATCCTAGTTTGGGAGAGGGAGAATAAGATAAATGGATATGACTTCTAACCATTATTTTTTCTGAAGTGAATCAATGGTTAAAATTAATGAACAGTCTTAGAGCTCTCTATTTGTCATTTTTCATATACAAAATACTCCCTATACAAATACTGACTGCAAAATTTTCTATTTTACTGATGGCAATTTTTATATCAACAAAAGTACTGCATCATTACAAATATTTACTACATTTCAAAAGGTAGGGAAAATGTGAATTCTTTTCTAACTTGTTAAAAATAACCTATTTATAATTGTGGTGTCAATGGTCCCTACAATGAACATACAGTTTCTGTTTTCTTTGGAAGTAAAGATGCACTTACATTATCTCGAATATTGCAAATTATCTTCGCATAGCATTTGTTGTTGTCTCTGGATGGCACAGTCCATTCCAGTGGCCAGAAATGACTATGATACACCTGGAAATACAGCACCGATGAGAAAAAGCTCTAATTACATAGCAGAGAGCATCTGCTGTCTCAGAGAGATCTTCCAAAAACTGCCAGTTTATCTTAAACTTGCATTGTCTGCTTCCAAAACCAGAGCTTTACTACTGACTGCAACTGCAACAGACTTAGGAGGACAAAGCACTTAGAATATCATAACCTGAAACAAATTACTATTTGAAAGAAGTTCCTAAGTAATTGCAACTTGAATAAAAATATGCCCCTTCACAAAGTTGGAGAGAGAGAGAGATCAATATTTCCTGTATTAATGGAGCTACAAAGCAATTATAACCATTGCTATACAAAACTGAAATTTAGTAGGTTTGGATGACAGGTGGAACTCAATATTCCCACTGAAGCTTACAAACCAAAAGCCAATACAGTGACATGATAAAGAGGTCAGGATCAACTAGATTAGGGCTTAGCCAGAACACAAATGTTTCTGGATGCACATTTTCAAAAACGTGAAACAGAAGCAGACTTGCCACAATAAAGGGTCCAGTGTTTCACATGGAAGAGCAGAAACTTTACTCAATAACAAAAAATTGACTCTGTATAAACGAAGTCTGTGGGCATAGCAGAATTTCAGCCTCTGTCCTGTAGTTAGGTTAACAGCACTTGATGTGCAGCCATATTAAGTCATATTTACCTCTTTTCTCAACATACAAAAAGTATATTTAACAAAGCTAAGAGGAACACAAGTTCTCAGCTGTCTGAACCACCACTTATGTGCTTATTTCCCCTGATAATGCTCCTCAAGTAATTCAAGTGGAGATAAAAGAAGTTCAGATTATTGTCACACACCCTCCCCTCATGCTTTCTGTAATGTGGTGTCCACAGTATTTTGTAAGAACGGTTTGGGACACCAAGTGCCTACATATTTCATTCCAACAGCAGTCCCAGTGAATGAAAAGGGATTATTCAAGTGAGTAAAATTAAGCACGTATCTGCCTACATAGTCAAAATAAACAGGAAAAACAGCGTACCAACATTTGTTTTCATAAAGTAAAAATCATCATGACAAAGAATTTGCCATCCTGTAGCTACAAAAAGCTCAGCTTTGACATTGAAACCAATGTATTACTTCCAACACCTCTCATTTATCCTGAAGTATTTGCATAGAAGATTTTTTTTTTATGATAAATATTCCACCTACAAGCCCTGTTTGTCAAAGAGAGAACATATTTACAACTAGAACTATCAGAAACGGGGACTATTGTTAAAGCATGCTTAGGAATTGCCAAGAAAGACAAAAATATAGTCTCCTCCTGACCTTACATCAGAGTACAGAATGCTGTTTTAATCAACTTTTAACATCATTTTAAATTACAGACTCAGAATTTAAGATCTAGATGAAATTAAGGCATTTACCTCAATGTTTTCCTCCCCAAATTTCGCTATTGCATTCTCTTCGGAATACCCACAGGCTCCATATTCTAAAGGAGTGAACACCGTGGTTGGAACATTCACGTAGTCACACTGTGTGGTATTCAAAATAAAAAACACACACGATATTAGTAATAACATCAGCACACCGAGTAAAAGTTAAGCAGTCCGAAAGTCAGGAATAAAAATTGTATTATTTGTAACTCTGAAAGCTACTTTTTCTTTATTTTAAATGAAGCTACAGTTCTGGTGTTGTCCCTCTCAGAGGTGTTAACTACAGCAAGAACAGAAAGACAGTTCAAAGCCACAGTGACATTAACATGCATAGAGTGAGAAGGAAATGCAGCAGTGCCCTGCTTTAAAACACACCAGATCACAAGTGACACGGGAGATAAAAAGCAGTCAGTTCAACTGCTTTTACAGAGCATTCTATTTTTAGGAGGTAATGCTACAAATACAACACCACCATCCAAAAACCAGCATCTTTTTCATCAGCTGCAGCCTAGAAGATGCTAAAGGCATGAACTACAGCCATCTGCAGCGATAGCTAGCACTAAAGTCGTGTCCCCAGTCACATCCAATGTAAGTCAAAAAGGCCTGACTACTCCACTGGCAATGATCTGCCAAGATGCATCTGCAGGACACAGCCCAGGATGCTGCTGGCCTTTGCCATCAGGGTAGACTGCTGGCTCAGAGTAAACTCCTTGTCCCCCAGCCAACCCCAAGGGGGCTCCTCTGCAAAGCTACTTTCCCACTGCTTGATCCCCAACCCACGCTGGTGCATGGGGTAACACCTTCCCAGGCACAGAACAGCAAGGTTCCTCTTGCTGAACCTCACAAGGTTACTCTCAGCCCATTTCTCCAGCCAGCTGAGGTCCTGCTGAGTGACAGCACAACCGGCTGGTGCATCGTTCACTTCCCCTCCCACCTGATTCATCTGCAGCCTTGCTGAGGGATTCTGTCCCATCACCCACATCACTAAGGAAGATGTTAAACAGTATTGTACCGAGTGCCCAAGTGCTGTGGTAAGTGCTGACTTTGTAAGGGTGATCACAGCCCTTTCAGCCCAGCAGTTTGACCAGCTTTTGGTCCACCTCACTGCCCACCTACCTCGCCCATACTTCAGCCTGTCTATGAGAACGTTACTCTAGCCCTACTAGAATCAAAGCAACAACATCACTGCTCTCTCCATATTCACCAAATGAATCATTCTGCCACAAAAGGCTAGCAGGTCGGTTGCCTCTAATTAATTTCCAGCAACTTTATTCTATTAATTTCAACTCTAATTTCTTTGTGTCTAGGTATCAACTAAGGTGCTGTTTACTATTCTTTCCCCACCTATCCATAATACTTCCTTATGTTTCATACAATCACCCTTTCCAGATTAGTTAAAACAGCAGTGTAAGCCAGGATCCCACCTAAGCAGTTATTTATTTCTTGGATTCATTCAGAGCGATGATGCTTCCTTTAGCAGCATAAGGATTTTCATAACCTGAGAGACAGTTATTTGGCATCAAATGTAAATTAAGACCGATCTGTAGTTCTGCAGTAAGAAGAAATCCTGGCTCTGGCTATGGTTTACTTAAACTTTGCTTGACTGATATAATGACATTAGGCACACTAATTCAAGATTCTGTTACTGCAATACCTGCCAGCCTAAAACAAACAACTCAATCAAGCTCTAAATCTGGCTGATAACAGAACCTGATATGAGTACAGCAGGCTCTACAGTTGCAAAGGTTTTTACTTAATCCCCTTGGTTATGAAAGTGAGACAAGCACCCATATCAATGTTGCTTGGATAACATTGCTTAAAGGCATCTTCCTTTCCTTCTATTTACAACTTAAGGTGTAAAAAGTACCCATGTTACTGCTATTTGAACTGACATAACTTGACTGAAGCCTACAATCACACTCGTATGATATGTAAACACTGGATTAATTAATTCAACTTCTCAGGTATAAATACTTTTTGACTTATTGGCACACTTCATCTTTCTTTGTATCCATATTCAGTTTGTAGCAAAACTGTGTACAACACTGAAAACATAAGGAAGTGAAAATACTAGTGCAAGTAACACGGAAAATTAAGAGCATCGCATCTCCTTGCAAGAAGCAGAGCAATGAGTGTTTGGTAGCAATTGGTTACTTACCTTAGTGGTTGCCCCACCATAAAGCCTCTGAACTAACAGTCTTCCTGCCTGGATTGCCACTGGTGTGAGTTCCAGCCTGTCCTGCAGTATATCTCCAATAGCGTAGATGTATGGCACATTTGTTTGCTCCACATCATTGACAGGTATTTTTCCTGTTCTGTGATTTGCATCAACAAAAATAAAAGATGTAAATATTCTGCTGTGAAGACTCAAGTGGTAAATAACATTGCAGCAATTGGGCCCTTTAGGCTTCAAGAGATAGGCATGTACTTGAAATATGTGGAGAAGAAGTCATATTCACAACCTTACAACCTTGGTCAAGAAAGTAAGCTAGTGTAAAGTTTGGTTTCTACCAAAACTACAGGAATTTACACACTGGATAAGGAGGTAGCCCCTAAAGTTGTGATTCATCTCCTGAATAAATTTGTTGGTGAGACATAACTGCTTTCCTCAAAATACACTACTACCAGCTGAACTGTGTACTGGAAACCTCGAGAAATGCTATGAAGCTGTAGGTTGAAATAATTTCTCCCTTACTGAAATTCCAGTCCAGTGGGTGAAGTAGTTTCTATAAACTTGACCTTCAGGCTTCTTCACAGAGACGAGTCAAGTTGTTAGACACCCCACTTAAGAAATACAGCAAGCTTTTTAGCATTAAACGTATTGAGCTAATGGAAGTTTTAAATTATTAATATTTCCTACTTCATTAATAAATGAAATAGTGCAGTAATCACTGCAGGAAACTTATCTAACAAGTAAACCTAAGTCACAAAGTTACTTGAAGGACCAGTAGCGATTTTTGTATAAAGATGCAACTTTCTTAATTTTTGGTTTTGTTAACAAATATATATTACTAATTAGTACTTATATACATATTACTTATTAAATATATACTACTTATTATACTACTAATTCTATAGTTAGTATAAATTAGTAACGGATGTCCCAATGTCAAACAAATAAAGACATGTAGTGTTGGGTCTGCCAATTTTGAATTGAATTTTGATTTTTTTTTTTAAATTTAGAACATTGCAACAGTTCTCTTCAGCAACATCAGTCACAGTATTCATATACAAGCTGCCCTCTGTACTGCTCTCCCACATACTGCCAAATCAAGTTCATGGTTCCAACAAAGGGAACATGGTCTAGGCCCCTCATATCTAGAATACCTTTTCAGGTTACCAATATTGAAAATGCTACTGATAGCTCCACTCCCTGGTACAATGACCTCACTAAATTAAACCTGCAGTTTTCTGCAGGAGAGAGATTGTTTCCAAAGGTAGAAGCCATAAGGCAAGAAATAAACTTCTCCAAAAACTAAAACACATCACTAACTCCAGCTGTGAGTTTAAAAATGCTACTTTGATTTTATATTCCAAAATAAACATACAGTAGTATTTACATTAAAAATGTAAACGAGCCCTACCACACTAAAAGTCCATATGAACAAACACATCTCTGCCCCAAGAGGTGGTAGAAATAAAAAAAAAAAAAAAAAAAAGGTGATGGGAATAAGAGTATGAGAAACAACTGACAGATCCTAGAAAGCCCAGTCATTGGAAGGAGCTGGCAGACCAACCTTTGAACTGAGACAGAGTGGAAGAGACACATTTGCCTCTCAGTATTTAGGAACTGACATTTCAGTATAAAAAAGAAAATGTGGTAGTACTATGTAAGATAACACCGCTATCTGCTACGTAGCCTTCTATCCAAACAGGAGACAATTTCTCCTGAAAGCATTTGACTGAGGATGCATGGCTGCCACTGCACTAGTCAATGGCACCAACTGTGTAGTCAGTGATATAAAGGAGTCTCTTCTTACTTTTCATTGATTTTCACTCCAACTTTGTCCAAACCAATTTTTCTTGTACATGCATCTCTTCCAATTGCTAGCAGCACCTGCAAAACAGCAATGCACATGTTACTGATTTCCTAAAAACTCAAAAGCACACTTGCTTGTTCCTACCTATTATTTTAATTACAGACTAAGGATCAGTACCTAAGGTTTGGTCGCATTAAGACAAATATATTAGTTACCCATTGCATGCTCATTGAGTTCAACACAAGCCACACTACCATCATGACCCAACAATACCAAGTTTTAGCTATAGGATTAAATGCAGCCAAATATATTTCCCTGGAAAAATATACAAACAGTATTCTAAATAAATCTGTTATCATCTTTCCTTGCAAATACACACTAAATTATTATACCATATTCCCATATGTTGACACTAAAACACTCTTTAAAGAAAGGGCTCTTTAGGAAGGAAACTCAGGTGCTTATGCAAATAGAAGACAAAATAATCTTTGTTTTGATCAGAAAATATCATTTACTTACATATGCCCTCAACTAAGCCACTGCCAAATAATATTTGTTGAATATTATTTGTTTCTGCATTTGTTCAGAGTGATTTTTTGGACATTTGTTCAGGCCAAATTCTTACCCAAACCATAAACTTGGCTACCTTAACTAGAAAAACAAATTTCGATGTATAATGTCATGCAGAAAAGTGTTTTGTGCTTTTGTGTCTTGGACAACTGCCCAGTTAACTACACAACGTACAAGTGACAAAAGAACTGTGTTGAAGTTGTCCAAAATCTGCTTCAAGTCTTTTAGATGACCAAACCTGCCAGATCTTCAGAGCTGAAGGTTTTCAAATGCATCATACACAGCTCATATAATAAGTGACAGCATTTCAGTGAAAGATGTAATAGCAATGAGAAATCAGAAGTTTCTTTAAAATAAATAAATAGAAAAAAAGGCACTGATTTGGAAGTTTAAAAAAATCTTTCAGTACCATAGACCAAGAAAAATAGTATCACAATTCTGTGAAACAGCACTGTGGTTATTGTTTATCTTTCTCATAATATTAGTACTCAAGAGGCACTGATGCATATCCTTGCTATGGAATAAACTGATGGATGGTGCAGGTAGATGAAGTCACTGGCATAGACTATTTTTTCCTTTCAAGGCCTAAGAAAATGAATGGTGTGAGAGGTGACGGAAGCAGTCAAACATATAAAGGCAGACCTGCATGCATTTGCACTGTAATTTTACTGCTTTCAGTGTATAATGAAATTCCCTGCCTGACTTGCCATGGGGTGTTTGTTTTTGTGAAGATGTGGCATCAACAACCAATCTTAACAACACCTTAACAATAACATCTGTTTTGTTTAGCTCTTGTAAGGACCATTGTTTTATGCTAACTCCAGAACAGCATGCTTCAGTTACTATAACAGTTATTAAAAATCATTACTTATAGTTTATGACAAATACTTCCCTGGGGAAAAATCCTGCAAATGATTCCACATGACCAAGCTCCTCTAAATCCCTAAGCTAAAAAACAGGTTTCAAAAGCATGCAAGTGATTTGGTAAGGCACGTGGGACTCATGCCCATGGATTCTAGGACTTTTCTCACATTAATTACATGTTGATTATGTACCATTAGCCTATTGTAATAATTGAAAATATTTTTTTTTAATTAAAGCTAAACTATGGATAAAAAGACCCCAGGAATCTTAACATTAACTGGAAGGTTATTCCATGTTCTTTACATATATAGACAGGACTCACAGTATTGTATTCCCCTTCAATTACTTCATTCCCCTTTGTGGACTTGGCTGTAACTTTCAGTCTTCCAGGAGTTCCTTCCTCAATCTGCTCAACCTACATTTGGGAAAAAAAATAAAAAAATAAAAAAAAAGTTAGTTTCAAATTAAAGTATACACATATATCTAAATCCCACAATATATCTTACGATCAAAAATGAATGTTTAACCACGACCTAAAATTCAAGCATTTGTTCTAAAGATATTTTCATCACTCTTTAGATTTGTGATTATTACTTTCATATTTAAACATTTTGTTTCATCTCCATGCATTTATTCTTATAATTAACACAATAGGACCTCATTTCTGTTTACAACAGTTGTTATTGACTGCTGAATTCTTGTCCAAGAAGCTGTCAGTATCAACTGTGGACAGGGAAAGTGAGGAGGAAGGAAACTACTTCTAGACCTGGAAACAGAATCAGACATTTTCTTAAGCCACACCTAGAGGACCGTGGTGTCTTTCACCCATGGGGAAGCCACGGTCATAGCCCTGCCCCTACCCCTGTTGAGTGACATCAGTCCAATACATAAAGCTGCAATTGTCTTGCAGGAGAGGGCAGCAGTTGGCTCTTAATGGCTGAAAAACACCAGCAGCTTAAAAAAAAAAGAAGCAAACAAACAAACAAACAAAAACAGCCCTTCCAAGTTCCTCAAAGTAAGCTGAAATAAATATTACTAGTTTTAGCAACAGATCAAGCTTCTTCTCTCCCCCCATCCTAACTGCAGTGGGTTACAGCCTATTCCAGTAAAACAAAGCAAAAAAACACACCACACCCCCACATAAAAAAAGAAAAAAAGAATCATTTTGCAATTGTGTTCTTCGCTGAGGGTAATAAAATACATGTATAAAGGCTTGTTTAAAACAAACACCCTCCCTACACACATGCAACCTCTACATACCAGAAAACAAAGCAGAAAGTGATGCCACCGGCTTTTTTGCCCCCTCAAAGGCTCCTTTTTCCTCCAATAAACAATCAACATCAAACGAGCAAATGGAATTTGAAGCTACATAGGTGGGTTCTCTTTTGCCTGGACTGTGAGAGGACTGTATGTTTAACTGCAGTCTTTCTTTTACCCTCTCAGAACAACTGCCACAGCTCCTATTTTATATTCAAAGGAAAGGAAATTTCCTTATTGTTTCCCTGTCCTTTATTTTTTTTTTTAAATTTAGAAGAACTCCAACCTTCTGTCCCATCCTATCAAGTTTACAAGATCACTTTTAAATTGCTCCTATTTGAAGGTGGCATTATTTATAATCATTTTCTGTCTTCAAGTGTCACACTGAATAATAAGCAGAACATGCAGAACGTCAAAAACAATGCAAGAAAGAGATGAAAAGATCTACTAAGGAGATATCCAGCAGTTAAAGGCTACTCTCAACTAGAAACAAGGCCATATATTTTATTCGCATTGAAACCAAACACATCCTGAAGGGACAGAAGTGTACTTTATGACTAGGGGGAGGGACTCTTTGCAGACTGCACCTGGCTGGAGGAGGCCACATGCCATTTAGTTGAAATGATCTCTGCTTCTTTGAAGACTAGTATCTTCCTTTCCTACCCCACCAAAAGAATTTACAGAAAGATAAATCTGAAACAATCAAAAGCTAGATAGTCATCCCTGACCCTCTGTAGGGTCAGATCTACAGAGTGATAACTGGCCAGAGCATTTTTTAAATTATTCTTGATATTAGTAAGTGTGAAGAAAAAGAAACAAAATAAATAATAATAATAAAAAAAAAAACAAACACCAGTTTTCACTCTATTTAATACTTTACTTCCTAAAGTGTTAAACTCAGTAGTATACTAGCTTAACACCAATCAGAAAAATGCTTAATATATTATTTCCTATTTCATAATTAAGGACTAATCGTTGTAGAAAAGCATTAAAAACAACAAACAACATTGCTAGGACTCTCTGAAGCCTTTGTTAAGGCAATTTAACATAAGAAAAGCTCCAGAACTTATCTCATCTACTCTGCAACCTGAATTTGCCTATACATAGACCTAGCTGCCTGCATGCACACCCCTATGGAATTCCAAGAAAATTAGGCACGTACGTAAGGTCTCTGCCAAGTAAAAGACAGAGATGGATACTTTACAAGCTCCTTTACTTTCTGGATAGTCCTAGGCACTGTAAGCAGAATTTGCTGGCTGAGAATTTGAGAACTGACAGTGAAAAAGATGACTATTCGTGATGCACTAGCCTTGGTCTTACAGGAAGTATACATGTACATCTTCCCACTTATCAGTCCACAAGAAGTCTTTAAGCCTTCAGAACAGCTGCTAGAATTCAGGTATATTCAATATTTTCAGGATCAGCCCAAGTAGGCAAAACAACTGTTTAATGTAGCATACACTAACTCATTATGAAAGGTGTATTACAATCAGTTGTAGTACTACCTCAAGCCTACCTTGATCGGCACAAACTCTCTGATGAATTTGATTCCATGTTCTTCCATGTATTCACCAATTTTGTTTGCCATATCCTGGTCAAATCCTCTTAGAAGAATGGATCTCACCATTACCGTGACATCTAACCCAAGGCCTGCAAGAAATCCTGCACATTCCAAGGCCACATAGGAAGCTCCAACCACCAGGGTTTTCCCTGGACAGTAAGGCAGGGAGAAAAGATCATCACTGGAAAAGAAGGGGAACAAAATAAAAAAGTTAGAGAAAAACAGGAGAATATGCTGCACTTTATATTTTTCTACTTTCTTTTGTAAAGATTTTATTCCTTTTCCTGATCACAAACACCAACAAAACTTATTTTTGGAAATCATGCTAGAATACTAGATCAGTATATGACAGATTAAAACATTCTAATTAGGACCACACGCAAAAATATGAAATACTCCAAAAGAGACAATAAAATGTAGAGGTTTTTTTAACAGACTTCTGACAATTTTTTGAAAAAATAGGATATTTTTCCTGAATTGCTTCAAATATTTTACTGCAAATTTTAGCTCCTGACAGCTAGAAGGAAGAGGAAAGGGTTTAGCATGTAAATAAACACACCACCTTAACTTCTTTGAAGACTTCTCCTTTTGCTAATTAATTATACACAGTGCTAAATACGTGCAGACAATAAAACAAATTAATGCAAACCACAGTAACAGGCAGAGCTAGGAGTACAAAATTAGAGCAAACATTTATTTGCCTGCTTTCCACTTCTTTCAACTGCTTCATCAATGTCTCATTTCTGACACACCTTGGAATTAGACCCAGGCTATGGAACCAGGGCCTCATGGAGACATCATGCTTGCTCAGCAGAAACTCAGGCAGAGTTTGGCAAGAAAATTCTCCAAAGATTTACATTTTAAAAAGAGACACTTTTTCAGCCATCAACGGCAACCACTAAACAAGATGCTCTCTGCAAATGCTGCAGTGGAATGAAGTGTGCCTGTGTAATTAAAGGCTACATCATAGCTCCTAGCTCTCAAGGAACCCAGTTAAGATTATAATAGACAGCCTCACTCTGATAGCCTGTAACTCTGGCATTCCTGACCCTTCCACCTTTTTGTTATTTTAAAGCCCTACTTTATCAGCCATGTAATCTACTACCTTTAATTTTACTACCACTTGGTATTAGGGAAACATACAACATGGTGTTTGAGTTTCACAGGGATTATGCCAGTCATTTATTTCATTATTATAGGTTTGCAAGCCTGTAATTCCAACCTGTGTTTCTACAGTATGTAATTCAGCAGTTAGCCTGATATGAAAGCACATTTTATCCATTTCATCTGCATATCACTTTTTTGTATGTGTGCACACATGTAAAACTGTGCTGAAGTTCCTTGCTTTTTTAGACAGACATTTGAAGCAGGTTCTCCCCAAAGTTGAACTTCACTAAGTAGCTGGGAAAAAACTGGTTCAGGTTTCAAGACTGGGACTCCCACAGTGTGTGAGGACAGACACATTTCAACCAGCTTCACAACATCAGCTACTTTCGAACTCCCCCTTTCCCTGACATTTGAGCTGGAGCCTTTCTCCATGTAGACTTGTGCTCTTCATTATGAACAAAGCTCAGTACATGAATGGAAAGACCATAAAGAATAAGGAGAAAATGTGTATAACAGTAACCGGGGCACAAATGATGAATTAATTTTATGACAGACACGCAAATGATTTCTGGGATTCTCAAGCTGCTCTGTTATCAGCTAGAAATGGAACTGTTCTAGCCTACCACCCACAGGCCAGTGGCGTCCACCAGACAATGTTCCCAGCACCCTGACATCTGTCTCTAGCTCTTCTCCTTCTCCTTGCTCTCCTCTAAGAAGCAGAAAGAAACAATATAGAGAAACAACAGCATGCAAGCAGCGCTGCTTATGCTTTACCACCATTTCTCACAGGTTAAGCATTTACACACAGTGAATGATTTCACGTTCTTCCCTGTTTTTACCTGCTGATGCAGTATTCCTTGTCTCCAGGGATACCCAGGTAGCGTGGCCTTTCACCAGTAGCAATGAGAAACCTCTCAGCTGTGTACAGTTTTTCAACTCCTCTTTTATTTGTTGCCTGTGAACAAAGCAATAGTCCAAAGTGAGTATTTTGTAGTCCTACTACGGGAAATATTATTCTTTGATGAACACCTGTATTCAGAAAACACTACAGGAAGACCCAGAAAACAGGGGTAGGCAGTACCTTGACTGTGTGTGGCTGAACAAATTCTCCATATGCATTCTCGTATGTGACTTTCTTCTCTCTCAGTGCTACTCGATAACCCCAGTTCAGTGAGCCAATGTAATTCTGAACCGATTCTGTCATCGTCATCCAGTTGTGTTTGACTGTTGGAAACAAAACAGATGTTTGTCTTTCAGTCTGACAGACTTATTTCCACAGCCAACCCCATATTCCCAGACAGACTTTTTTCATGACCCAGTCACCTTTGTCCTATTCCTATTTCACTCCAAGGTAACTCTACTGAAATTCAAAGAGCTACATCAGCAGAGACCAAACGAAAGGTCAGTGAACCAGATACGCCTTAAACAATCAACGACTTGCCTTCTGCCAAGCATTTGCAATATTTCCTCCCTTTATTAGCACAGCCGTAGCCTTTGACACATGGAACACTTAGACTTTGCATATTATTAATTGTTTTCCAATGACACATGTTCTGAGCAGGTGACATTGCTCAACAAGTGAAGATTATGCATCTCAGAGGTGCCTCTGCATGCTCCCCCTTATAGAACTACACCCTAAACAGATCCCAATCCTATAACCATGTACTCTAGAGCTAATATAAAGAAAAAATCAGTTTCTGATGTAGAAGCAATGCAGACTGAGGGAACAGTAACCCTTGCCTGCAATTATTAGTAAGCTTCTGTTTCTAACAAACAACATTTTGGGGTATTCCTTTGGATGTTGTGTTACATTCAGAAATAGAGTAATATCTTACTGCTTTTATTCACACAGCAGTGTGAATAAATCAAACACTGACACAATGAGAACATATTAAAAACAGATCAAATGCTGCAAGGCAGTAAGTCCTGTGGCTTCAAACTTGAAAAGCACTTAAGCTTATGTGTAGTCGCTCTGAAGTTGCCTAACATTGTTAAAGCCAGCACGTAAGTGCAACAAACACTTGACTGTGAAAAGAACCTATGGATTTTCAGCACAAATGACAAAAGTGAAAAAAAAAAGTTCTCCTTCCGTACCTTCTTCAGTAAACTGCCATCCAAATTTGCGTGAATCTTGCAAGGCTTGTCCCAGTAAAGCTGCCTGGTGCATCAATTTTTTAGGTATACAGCCCACATTTACACAAGTTCCTCCAAGACCTGAGAGAAAGGCACAGAATGCATTTTTCACATCGGTGTGGCTGATCCCAAAGAACAATCAGACTCTTAGTAAATAACGCTCCTTTATAACAAATTTGCAATGAAGAAAAATTTACCCCATGAATTTCCCAGAGGCGTAGGCGTGACAAAATCCAGCACCATCACTTTCTTTCCATATTTGGCAGCCTCCTGCAAAACAAATTAAATAAGACATGTATCTAAATATTAGAGGTTAAATTTGGAGTAGATGATAACATCATGCATTGATGAAAAGCTTTGTGACTTTTAATTAAGCAATAATGAATGATTTGCAAGAGAACAGCCAGACAGCCATTAATCTTCAGAATTAGTCTGTGCAGTCGGTAGAAAAAAGATGAAGGGGAAAAACAGGCATTTACTCTGCTAAACATGAGCATGGCACCAGTTGATCAAGAACTCTGGGAGTCAAACCTCTTCTCACCTCCATCCCATCATTGTGTTTACAATATTTCCCAACATGACATTTGCTTTTAATATATTTAACAAGTTCTTCATTAATCTGGTTTTCCATTCATAGATGGTTCCTCACATGTTTGTTTGAAACCACATCACACAATGACATCAGCATTCATATGGCCCAAGCATTACCACTAGACTCATCCAGTCTTTCTCCTTGTAGAAAAGAAACGTTCAATTTTGTGTACAATACACAGTTGTCAGGATGAGGTCTTGCTCTTCACCCTAGTTAACATGTGGCACGCTGACTCAACTTTCAGGATGCACAGATGTCATCCGTTCTAGAAAGGCAATGATTTATTTTATGATAACTCCCCTGAGAAGTTTCATTAGCAAATATAGAAGCAATGTGTGTGCATGATTCTGAGAAATTGAATTTCTACACTGACTCCAGTATTCCCTTTGTGCTTTTTTTTAAGAGAAAGGTAAAAATCCATGGTAGTAAGTGGTACCAGAGAAAAACACTTAAGCACTACAGAACTGAGAAACAAAAGATTCCTCCACGAGATGCAGCAAAATAGCTTGGTACTTTGAATAACCACAACTGTGCTGCATCACGTGATGAATTCTCAGACATGTAATAGCAACTATAGGCACAGGATATTACCCTAAGGCCTTGGGTTTGGTTTGGGAGGAGTTGGATAGCTTTCAGCATTAGATTACTAGTAGGACTTGTTAATCCAAATAGTTGACAATCAAAATTTCAATTTTAAATGCATCTTATTTCATGCAAAACACAAATCATATTTCAAACAACATACGCTGTAGACACCTTAGGAAAATGTTAACGTATGAAATTTCTACTTCCAATTAAAGATCAAGGTTGGCCAAGAGGCTCACTTTATGCATTAGCAGCACCTTTGATAAAGTTTCTCAGAAAGGTGCTTAGGGATTTAGATGTGTTATTAATGCTTCCTTACAACAACAACTCTTTCAAACAGCAGTTTGAAAGCACGTTACCGGCATTGGCTGTCTAACCAGAACGCACCATTCCCAAGCTCACACTCAGCTACATGGAGCTATACACAACAGAGCACAGCACTGTACTGCCACCTCAATAGAGATCACAAACAGATAGAGCCACTTCTGCAGGGTGATAAGCCCACAGTAACAAAACTTGCCCTGTAGGCTTTCAGACCTTGCTGGATTTAGTGCAATGTGCTGTGAACACGAAGGTTGCTTAGGGCTGGAGTTGTTCTCTGTGAACTGGTAGTGGTGGCCTGGCAGTTTTGATCTGGGTCTGTGGCTGGGCTGCTCAGAGTCAGCTTGGCAGCACTGGCACTCACTGTGGAGACAAGCCTCCAAAATAAAAAGCTCTGAGCACCGTATGGAGAGGAAGGGGAAGTTGTTCACACAATATTGCATGTGTTATAACAAAAAACAAACATGTAATCAACCTAGTTAAATTGCTATAGATATCCGGAACTTGGTAGAAGAGCTGTATGGTTGTTTTTTGTTGTTCTTGTTTTGTTTTGATTTTTAAAGCACTAAAAATACTGAATAAACTAAGTATTAGTCAGAAGCCTACACACATAGAACAGCTTCATTTCAACTTAATGAAGCTGTTTTGAAACACACACATTACTGATAGCAATGGTGTCTTTATTGATCTACCGTCCTTTGCTCCACAATCACGAGTACACTAAGAGGCAATATACTTTATATGCTGAATAAGGTAATTTATCTCTAGCCCCACACCTTTTCCATCCCACAGCCGAGAAATGATGCAATAATCACCACAGCTGCAGTCTCACAACCTCGCATATGCATACAGCAAAGCAAAGGAGCCTCCTAATGGGAATTTCAACAGATGGCTTTTCATTACTCCAAGCCGATTTTGCATTCCTGCAAGTTCTCTTTTACTCTTTCATATTAAGCACCCCTAGACCCTGAAAACTTCTCTTTCCAGGTCCTCTGAATTTTTGTAGATCTTATCTTTCATCCTCGGCCACGACAACAGTGCCTTATTGATGTACAAACTACCAAAATAGATTACAGACATCCTACATGTTACAGTCCACCACAGCTGTGCACTCTGACTCTGTTGAGTAACTTCTGGTTTCTAACAGCATTATCTCTGATCTGTGGGTATACAGGGGAACCAAGTTTCACTCCACTGAAATGTACACCATGACATTTTTATGTTTTTCTGCTTCTGAACATACAGAAAATACTATTGTATTCTACACCTATGATATGGAGAAGACTGTCTTTAACCTGGAGGTAACTTCAAAAGAACTCCTGCTGAACAGGCAGAAGTGTTTCTACAAGTGTTCAAGATATCCAGATCCAAGGTGCTGAGGATGTCAGCCACCCACTTAAAAGGGCAGTATAAATCTGTACTTTCTGTCCCATACCTTGGCAGCGGCCAGACCACCTGAGCCCCCACCGATGACAATGAGGTCATAGTCGTAGGAATGGGGCGCCGCTGTATGCCCGTTCATTTCCAGCAGACTCTGAGGATTGTCTTCTTTATGTGCCTGAACAGAGAAAGCAAAAAGGATTAAAGAATATTGAAACATTACCCATGGTGTTTAAAAATGAGCATTTTCAGCAGCAAATATTGTGATATGGGAACGTAAGTGCATCTGTATTTTCTCTTAATTAGCTTTTTAAATCTTCATCTTCTTAATCCATTGTTGGATAGCTCAGTACCTGTTAGATACTGAACTATGAATTTCCGTGCTCTTTGGAGACCTGGGTTTCCTTGCAGAGCTTAGTCTTCCGCATCACCACAACCCCAGTGCCTCCTCATACTGTGGGCACTAGGATGAGATGCATACCTGCTGACACAGGCATTCTACGGATTTATTTTATTCCTTTCATCTGCCCTGGACTTCCCTAATTAGTTTTTTCCCCTCCTGCTGCATATATGAGTAGGAAAATACAATAATATGCAACACCATAACAATCTGCAATTACCAGCCTTACCAGCTGAATGAAAAGAACTGTCTGAAAAAAATACTATCTGAAAACGACATTTTTTATAACATGACTAGATTATCACAGTAGCTAACTCTGGAATCAAACAAATCAAGTGTGATCACTAAAGTTTCATGAGAGGTTTTGGGTTTTTTTTTTTGGATCAGATGACTACAACCACAGGAAAATAATCCCCTAAGTCCTAAAATGCATTCTGACCACTCTGTGCCACACAGAACATTACATTAATCTTCATGTACTTTTTCTAAAATGATTCTTCGTACTCAAATTGTGGAGCTCCAGTGAATCAGGACTTCAGATCCTCAGGTCCTTCAGGTTGCTGGGAAAATTCTCAATGCCTCTCAAAATGCCCAACAAGATTTGGAGTGAGTAAACACGGGATGCCTCAACTGATACAAATCACTGAGTATCAACTGAACACATGATAAAACTTTTAAGACTTAAAAAAAAAAAAAAAAAAAAGTAACTAAAGAAACCTCACTACATCACTTTACAAATCTGGTCACTTGTTATTCAAGTGTTTCTGCCATGGTAAATAGAATACAAGAAAACAGAGACATTTTCCCTCTCTTCTTGTCTAAATTTTGTTTTGCATTAAGCTTCCCTTTGAGCTCAAGCCATTCTACAACTGCCTTTCTCTGTGGTTAGATTAGTCCCTCTCTCCAAGCATAACTGGTGCCAGTGCATCTGTAACAGTGACAAAAAATCCCTGACACTCCACCAGTAATTTCAGCAAAAATTCAGACTCTACTTCTGCCTGTAGGAAGTTACATTCGTATTAGTCTTTCATAACCAGCATGTTATTAGTAAAAACCAAAACCTCGAAGACATCTGTTGTTTCTGTGAAAACATCCAAAAATACCTTGTCGTCCTTCCTTTTCTCTTCCCGCACTGCCACCCCAATATATAACCCTGCCACTGAATCTTGTCTGCACTCAGTTCTCCTTTTTTCCATTTTTCTAACAGTCATCAGACAAACTTCCTACTGCAATCACAAAGACTAAAAAAGGAGCATGTATCGCATTATGGTGTGCGGTTTCACTTTATTCTTATTTAGGGACAGAGAACAAGAGAAAGCACGTTGTTCATTTCTGAAGTATGCCCTCTTGTTCGCTCAGCGACAACAGGACGGTGTGAAGCTTAAGGGCAGATTCAAACTTACCTCCCACGCAGTCATCAGACCCAACTACCAAGAATCGCATCTTTACGATGTGTACAGATGTAAAGTATAAAGAAACTACAATATCTACTCATGGATTTTGCTTAGATCACTGATCATAATCATACCTTTTTTTTTTAATCTTCCTTTTAGGAAAAATGCTTTGTATTTTTACATGTGGATTAAGAAGCTTCAGCTTTTATTCCATCAATGGTGGAACCATTAGCTTTGTTTTTTTTGTTTCCATTCAATGGAACAAACCCATTGTTTTGTTCATTTGTCATAAGCTCTTGATGAAAACATACTAAAAGCTTAGATCACACTTAGTAGATTATAACCTTCCCTGATGAAACCATCTCCTAGAACTCCACTCTAAAACAGCCAGGATATAGACAAGCTTTGCTTCCCATTTCAGGGGGCAACTTGTTCCTGACCTTGAATCAGGACTGCGACCCCATACTGAGAATGTATCTCCTCCTTTCTTCTCCCAAGAACTGTAATTTTTCTTTTAAGTTTAAATTCTTCTTATTTTTCCACGCCAAAACTAAATTACAGAGTTTAAAATGCATGTCCCCCTACCTTTAAAGTTTTCTCATGACCTCCTATTTGCTTCTCTTGCACAGAAACACCTGTCTGTGAAGTCTCTGTGGTTACTTCGCACTGCACTTCTTGCAGCTTCTGTGCACTCTCTGTGAAATAAAGGACAAAACAATCTAGCGTCTGGAGTGGCGCCCTTTATGTAGGTTGTGCTCCTGAAGCGAAATTGTCTGGGGGAGTGGCCTTGGCGGCTTCATCACTTCCTCATCTGCAGCACGCCTGTCTCAGGGGAGTGTTTCCTAAGGCAACTGATGAGTCATTTGCAACGTTAGGATGACTTGCTATATTTTTGTCTTTAAGAAAAATCCCATACGAGAACTGGCTGGGATTCCAGGACGTTTTGCCAATCTGACCAGATGCCTGAAACAAAGCAAGGAAATACGATCTGCTGTGGCTAAGCCTGCAACTTCAGTCTAAAAGCAAAACGGTGATTTCTGCTTTTCTTACTCAGAAAGTGACTTTTTAGTGCTGTTGTGCTACCATTTTTTCAGTCTAAATATTTTAAAGTGAATTCCAAGTTCCAATTTTGCTCTTTCAATTAGTTCCCCTGGAAATTTCTCTCAAATCTTTAACAATATAATCACATTTTTTCCCCTCTCCCCCATGCAGCCCCCCTCTTCCCCCTCCAAATAATTTCTGCCTTACAGAGTTTGTTCCTCCTTTGAAATCCTTTAAATAAGCATTTTCAAAAGTCTGGCAAAGATCTGTGCCGGCTCATTGGTCACAATTGATAAGGATATCCTACAGAAAAGGTAAAATATTAGCAGCATGAAAAAAATAACATCTCTATACATGGTGATACTTCACTAGGCATTGCATGGCAAAAATAATCTGATATATGACTGGAAACCACTATCAGCTCTGCCTTCCTATACATAACTCTGAGTTATGCTAACCTTCATTTCCAACAAATGGGTCAGTACACACTTGTTTGTGTTTGTCACATACATCCTTCGCACTGCACAGCCATCACTAATTAACAAACTCTGACACGTGCCCATAGCTAGACAAACAGCCACACTGAGCGTGTAGACGTTCCTTGGGCAGGGAGCCCACAAATCTGAAGAGTGTTCACCCAGACACACACAAACACAAAAAGGCACTCACTGAAAACTGGTTTGTAAGCTTGCTGTCTTGGTTTTCCTTTCTGCAGCTTGGTGATAAAATCCCTCTATCTCACAAAGGTGTTAGGAAGAGTAACTCGACTGATGTTGACAAAGGGGTTTAAAGATCTGAGTCATTACACAAGAGTTAATAGCAATGTTAATGATGGAGAATTCTTGGCCTCTTCTAGCCTGGAGAAAGAACCCAGGAATTCATGTCTGCATGAACACACAGACACACCTGGGAAAAGCAAAAACACAGGCTTGAACACTGGTCACCATCTGCGCATCGGAGGAATTTTTCTTCAATACATTATCAAAGCTACAGTCCTGAGGGTACCTAAAGCAACTGAAGTCTTGTAGTTTTTTCCTACAAGTCTGAACAGCCTCAGGAATGTTCATGTAAAATTGTATCTTAAATCAGATAAAAACCTACTAGTTAGACAACACAGACATTTATATAAGCACCTCTATCTTCAGGCAGATCTCTGCTAGAGGTTCACAGCTTTACCAAGGGCCCCAAAACCCAAAGGCAACCGTAACCTCTGGCAGAAACTTGAAAGACTTTTGTCTGCAGGTTCGTACTGCTAGGGGCCTCTCCCTTGTTGGCCCGGGCAATTTGCCACAGACAGAATGACAAAGCAAAAAACGCTTTTGCATCATGTGCTGGCTCCCCATAAAAGTCCACCCATTAACGACAATTATAACAGCTACCGCTGGTGAATCGATGCCTTCCAGAAATCGATCAGCAGATACCATTCCTCAGGCTGAGATTGCTGAACTCCACCTGGGTCAGCGAGCTGTTCTGGACCATTCTGAGATATGCAACACGAGGGGCTATTCTCTTTGCTGGCTGGCATCAGCACTGCCATCAGCAAACCTGCAGCAGTTTGTGGCTACCTCAGGAGGATCCAGCGAGGCTCCAGCCCTGCACTGTCACTTCTTGGCTTTTGTTAGTCCCAATCCAGGTGGTGGCTGCTGTGTGCCACCTCCCCTACTGCCTGCCAAGTGCTCCCTGACATGGGGTGAGCTGAGGCACCAAGGCATTGCTTTAGAAGACCCTTTCTTGGGTCTAAGGCTACTCTGATCCACCGTGCTGTTTTTTCTTCTCCTTCCTGCCTCCATACCCTGTCCGCATGCTTGGCTCTGGCAGCCAACAGACCCTTACAGGAGCTAAACAAATGCACTAACCCAGGAGAAGAGAAAACATGGGTGGTTTTTGACCAGGCTAACTAGGTCTCTCCCCTCACAGGAGTGACACAGCTGGTACAAGGGAGCCAGCACATCCACACTGACCAGAGCAGAGGAAGAGGAGGCAGCAGGATTTCTCTCACTGGTGGCAGTACAACTGCTAGATTGGCTCAGCAGGTTGTTAAATCAGCCAAGAAACTGCCTTTCTAGCATTTACCTGAATAAATTTCTGACACAGACCATGCTAGGCCTCACTGCCACTTCTCGTGCAGATCAAGAAAGAACGAACTGTGGTGTTTTAAACTCATATCCTTACTGGGAGAGAGCTTCCTCATGAACCAAAGTTCATGCTGGTACGGAGGCCTGGCCTCTGAACTTTAGACTTGTGTAACTCACTGGCGGGGGGTGAAGAAAGGCACGGCTGGTTTCAGAAGGCCTTGACCACAGAGGAACCTGACAAGCCCTAGAGAACAGCCCAGACCCGCTTCGTGAGCAGAAATACTCCGGGATAAGAACTGCCTTGTTCTGCTGAAGCGTTCACCAGCTGCACGGGCAGCACGTGGGGCTAAGCAGAAAGCCCGGGCCTTGCAACTGCCTGCCGTGAAGTAGCCTGAGGTGCTTCAAGGCACAAGTATGTGGTGATTTAGCCGGATTCTGTATGTCACACAGAGGCCATTATTAATGAGAAGGAACTTCGCAATATTTTTAACAAAATCGTGTAATTAAAAAATAGCCGTCTTCGGTAGTGTAGAAGATGCCTCTAATTTTGTAACGCTTATAAACAGTCATGTGGCTTGCTTTAAAGTCTTATCCCCAGGCAGCTGAGGAATGCAGGATGTTTCATATGACAACGAAGATTTACCTTTTGCTCAAGTTAGCTTTGTAGGTGGAGAAAGTTTCAGCTTTTCCTTCTCCCTGCTCATTTCTGCCCTTTCAGCACAGGTCACTACCTCCCCAGTTGCACAAGCTCAAATATTTGGAAGTGATGGGCAATGAAACCATTATGTGATCCAGATTACAACAAAAACCCAAACCTTTAAAATATGCATACCTCCAGCCTGGATCGTGTCACAAATCCATGCTGAGAGGCTGCCCTGCAATCAGCTGAACTAGTGAAAACTATGAAGGAATAGAAACGTGGGGCAGAAGGCAGGAAAGGATGAAAGCCTCTTAAACAGGCTTTACCCCAGAGGAGTCACAATGCACCTGTATTTTCAAGAGATTCAGGATCAGGGGATGAAAAATTAAAAAAATGATAAGTAGAAACTATATTTTGATGAGCCAGTGGTATAAGTTAGACCCTCAACTTATCTCACAGGCTTTAATTTTTTACTGTGCCAGAGACACAGAGCAGCCTTACAGCTAGCCAAGAGAAGCAACTGAGCTGGCTGGTGTAGAAGTGTCAGGGCTTGCTATGATAAGGTCTGTGTGTGCTGTGCTCTAGTGATCCTGGCCAAAAACCACCGTTACCTTTGACAGGGTAAACCAGCAGCCCTGTGGCAATTTTCATTCCTTCCAAGAGCTGATTCAGCACCTGGCTGCCCCGTCAGAGGAAGTTTAAAGATAGCTTAGAGGTACATTTGCCTCCCCACCTGTACACTGCCAAAGTCTGATCCCACACTAAGTCACTAACATGAAGACAAACCATCCTGACATCATTTATACACACGGAATTCAGCGCCCACTGACGAGCACTGTTAATCAGAAGTGAGCACTGAGTGAGTGCGTGCTACTACTGAAGGCTGCTGTATGTGAGCCCTGAATCCTGCTGCCTACACGCAGGACCAGGATATATGCTACACCCTAGTACTAGCACCTCTAGCCTTCTCTCTGAAATTGGCTGCTTGTCCTTAAAGATGGGTAAAACACCATGTGTCATCATCACTGCACAGAAATTGCACTGCTAGATAAGATCTTTGTCTTTCCTAAATGTCAAATATCAACGCGTCAAAACCCAGAAGTTGAAGAAAACTGCCTCCTTCAGCTTTCCCACCTACATGCACCAGCAGAGGAGTGGCCAGCAGGTGGAGGGAGGGGATCGTCCCCCCGAAATCCTGTCTGGAGCACTGCATCCACGCCTGGGGCCCCCAGCACCAGAAGGATGGGGGGCTGTTAGAGTAGGTCCAGAGGAGAGACACAAGCTGAGAGAGCTGGAGAAAAGAGGGCTCTGGGGAGACCTCATTGCAACCTTTAGCATTTAAAGTGGGCTTATAAAAAAGATGGAGAGCAACTTTTTACAAGGGCAGATAGTGATAGGACAAGGGAGAACAGTTTTAAACTGAGACAGGGGAACTTTAGATTAGATGTTAGGAGGAAATTCTTCACTCAGAGAGTGGTGAGGCACTGGCACAGTTTGCCCAGGGAAGCTGTGGATGCCCCATCCTTGGAACTGTTCAAGACCAGGTCGGATGAGGCCCTGGGCAACCTGATCTAGTGGGTGGCATCTCTGCCCATGGCAGGCTTCCCTCCTTTTCTCCCTGGATTACAGGTCTGTTCTGTTATCTGTCAGCTTCCCACGCGTGCGTTCTTCACATAGCACAAAGCAGCGCCATATGTGGAAGCCTAGAAAACAGCAGTGACTTGACATATTGCTGAAATGCCCCAAAGGTGTTTACGTGTTTGCAGTGGTTCTCATAGGAAATATCTCTCCAGAAAGCAGATGCACAGGTTTTCTTGGCTTTAAGAAGAGCTTGGCTTTATGCTCTCTCCATGTCACACTAGTCAATCCTTAATCCCACTGGTGAGTTACTTCATTAAGTAATTACAGTTTTCCTTGCAATTACTGGCTATCGATATAA